AATGTGAAATTCGGAGAAAAACTAGCAATAGGAACTCATTTTCGCCATGAACTTGATTAATATCAAAGAAAATCAGCTTTTTAAAGAAAGTGATGAAGTGATATCTATAAAATACATTTTCACCTTATTGTGCTCCTCATGTCGATTAATAACGACCATATGATCGATCAAATGCATAACGATATTACGATTGATGGCGGGTAGACGCTGGAACAGCGCAAGTAGACGTGCACTCTTTTCTTCAGGTTCAGGTTGACTAAGGGCCTCAAATAGATCAGGGTAGAGCTGATCAGTAAACAAGGCCTCTGGCAGTTCTCGCAAATATAGCTTGAGCAAATGTGCCACCGCATTGATATCCACCTCTCGCAAAAGCTGCTCCGCCTCGAACGGGTCATTCTCGAAAACTCTACGGAGCCGCTGAACGTCCGAAGTAGAACCCGACAGCCTATAGATGCCGACTTCATTGATACCACGCTTCTCCACCTCACGGACACAGCAGTTTATGAGGAACGGTACCGGGGACTTCTCTTTTCTATTGGTTCAGACAATAAAGTAAATGAAGTAAGAGAAGTCTAAAGAGTCGGATACGTAAATCACAATAAACATTTTTGGAGATTCTGTATGCGGGAAGTAAGTTATCCATGGCTTGACCTTTGCCATTCACCAGTATTGCCTTAATCGTGTAGGTTCATTAAAGGGCATCTCTAAGGTTAAGCTAGCAAATTTTTTTCACATGAATTAAAATGGTCGTAAAATCGCATAGACACAGACTGCACTCACTTGCAAACCTGTTCGATCTTTAATCCAAAAGTTCCAACGGGTTTGGTGTCGAGATTCCGTCGAAGGCACTGCTGGTATGGCACATATTTTATCGACAGGTTTAACGTATACTAAAACATAAAGCCATACAAATATCAGTTCTGGTAAGTTAGAATTCCACATAGCATATAACAATTTCTAACAATAACTAACTAACGAGAATCAAGGCGACTTTCTTACATCTTTTAAGATATTTCCATACGAAACTACAAGAAATTTATTTTCCTAGATAGCTAAAGACCGCAACTAGAAAAATCAGAAACAAAGAATTAAACTTGCTAGTCAGACGATATTGATAAGCTCAAACACTTTACACTCCTGTCTCTTACCATATTAAATTCGACTTATAAGGGATCATAGTCTTTACTAAATGGAACGATGCCTTTCCTTTTATTATCAAATATTTTTTTTTTCGATTCGAATATATAATATTATAAATACAACCGTACCTCTTGCAGGGAGATGCTCCTATCTTGAAAGTGCTCTGTAAGCCACGACTTGCTCAGCTCAAAGGTAGCCTTGCCCCTTAGCAGGGGTGGACCTTGGGGTAGTTCTTCATAAAGCAGGATACGGAGAGTCTGTGAGCCATCTACGTCCATAATAAGTTCCTGCCGGAAGCGTGCTTCCGCTCCGGCAGTTAGCGGTGCAGTCTTTGTCCTACCTTTTCGGAAGAAATGGCCGTACGAATCGACTTCAAGGCAAATATGCATTTGGCATGTGTTTACACTAGCAGCGGCGATAGATGTCATCTGCGATAGACCCACTGCTGATCCGGTAGCTGAAACAGCCGTAGCGGAAGGCTCCGTCTCTCCTCCTTGGAGACTAACCACGTGCACATGCAGCTCACCGAGAAGCAGGTCGTCTGTTGGTCGGCTGCCCAGTGTGCTTTTACTACCCTGAACGATATATTATCATAGGTACAGTTATGCGAATACACGTAAGATCTTTCCTACTCTATTAACAAGAGCCATGTTTTTTAAGATTAATTTTTTAGACCAATTTTAGATGATTGCAAAAATCAATTTTCTTCTAACGAAAAAACTATATGCGAGACAATCATACTAACAGCTGCTGCTATACAGGTGTTGAGCTCGTAAATCGTAGGTGGTGTATGCGGTATAGGCAGATTTACTCCAGATGGATTTTGACCAGACGCTTTCGAAGCAGAGTGACTCGACGTCTGGTTTGATGCTGTGCCCTGCATTTGCTGTTGTAGGGCGTGGATCGCTTCAATCCACTGCTGTCGTTCGAACTCTGATGATACGAAAAATTGAAATACCTGAAATTTCCAGACAGCAATATGGTAAACTGTGCAAGAACAAAGCAAGTATATGTATATATAGTGACGTATTAATTTTCTTATGCTTTGTTTCTAAGAATGTATTTAAACAACAACAGATCACTTAGCTCACATGACATGTAATACACATGTCAACATACGCAAAAGGGCTCAAAATAGTCTCGACAAGGCTAATTGGTAGTATTCATGTGGACGACCCAATTGATACTTAATATTACCCCCTTCAAAACGATCTTTAATTCCTCTATATGATTGGGTCCAGGTCTATCAAAAACGAATTTTTGACCCCTTTTAATAAATTTTTGAGCTATCAAAACCTAAATCCCATTGATGATCTTCCGGCTTTTCCATGTAAATTCTCCTAGGTTTTCTATGAAGCTGCATGAAAACTGGCATTAATGTAGACTATCTATTGCGGGCAAAAAAGGAAGCTTTTAGACTCGTTAATGCTTCGACCAACGTGAAAATATTGAATAATTGCTGATTTTCGCTCATTAACCAAAAAGGATGCACTGTTTTTCACCATTACGAGTTTGTTGTCCTATTCGAGAATGAATTGGCTTTCTTCTGGTATTAAAAGTAGCGGATGACCGTACGCCCGTTACGACGAGTAACCGCCAAAATCAATAGTGCAAACTGTAGGATATTGACATTTATTCGTTCACAAACCTTGTGGTTTTTATGGCCGATTTTAAACGGCAGATGAGGCGAGTGAAGCATTAATGCTGCTTCGAGATCGCTCAATTTTCGCCGCAGCTTGTCCATAGGACGTGAGGTTGTCACTCCACCTTGACATCCAACTGGACCGCGTTTGTTTTCCTGCAATATTAAGAAGACAGCTTGAGCATTTTTGGGCATGTCCAAAGATAAATTATTTGTGTCTAATCATGTCTAAACTATGTAATAGGTAAACTTATATGTAAATCCTAATTTTTTCTTATGGGTCAAATAGAAAATGTCCTTAATATTGAATTTTTTTTTTAAAAGTACGCGCTTCTTTAGCTCGATTTAAATTAATAATCATCTATTATTACATTACTTAGGATACATTAGTTAATATATTGTGTAAGTACGAAGAAAAAAGCAATACTGACTAGCTTTCGAATCTGATCTCGAATCGAGTTTGCTCTTGAACGAAGCTGGCAAACATTCGCCGGATGCTGTTCACGGATGGGCTCTGCTTCCCCTTCGGGATCTAATAGGGTCACCTAAAATTAAAAAACGAATTGACATCTATATGGTGGCCATTTTCCAAAATCTAGTTATCAGAAGCGATGAAGCAGGGTTTATGGAAATGGGTAATTTAAACCATTCTTAAAATACGTTAAAACCATACTTTTATTTCATAGACACAAACATTCTTATTGAGGCGAAGAGGGAATATCTTTTTTTTTTGGTAAATAAGGAAGTAACATCGAGCTTTCTGGCTGGACGTTTATATATTAAAAGTAGACACTTTCACGCACATTAGGTAAACTTTAAATTAGGGTCAGGTATAATCCATCCGCCTATCAAAACGGAGTCCAATAGTTCGAAGGGGGTAGAGTAACCACACGGCAATGCTTTTGTACAATAGTGAAATATATACAACACCAACAGCCCAGCTAAAAGCCTTGCACTTTTTTATATATATATATAAATGTTTTTAATAAATTAGCTGTGAAAGGTTCTGAACATAATGTATACAGATTTTCATTACATCAGAGATGTCCATGCAGTGTTACTTTAATTGTTGGAAATTGAGCGCCATCTTAGAGAAATATGTCGTGTCATAAGGTTAGCACCTCTTTATTTATCTCTGGCCTCTTGAAGGTGTCTTTGCTGGCACGCCGACCCATAGACGTAAGATTAATCAAGAGTTCAGTCGGCGGTACAGCAAGCTTCACAAACGACATCCATACGTACCTCGTTGAGAGGAATAAACCATTTGACCTCGAGGTACCGAGTGCGTCCGTTTGTTTTACACTTAGCGCAAACGAGAACGTCGTTGAAAAGGAACAAATGCCGAAGCTTTCGGTGTCCCTCCAGTTGTACCATAAACACATTACGCACAACGTGTCTCGAGGCCCGATCCTGTAACTGTTTAATATCAAATGAAAAAGTGAAGTTACGTCATTTTCGATCGATTTTTCTAATTGTTTAGTTTAATTAAAATAGCAAAATCTATGTTTTCTTCACATGTACCTTGCCAACGGCTGCCGCTTTAGCACAAACAATCCTGCCATAGTGAAACCTCTTTATTTTACCCCTGAGAGCATAGCATTGCCCTGAGATGTTCAAATCTAACCGTAGCAACACAAATCCTATAGCATAGAGGATTTCAATGTCAGCACATAATCGATTTTTTTTTAAATTAAGCTACATATTCTTACTGAACATTTTGACGGTAGTAAAAAATTATGGTCTATACCTTGCTATCGAAATCAAAAAGGAGCCCAGATTGTTAATATTCGTTCTATAATAATCTTCGATCTTCATGTCATGCTCGATGTATTGTTTATAAAGCGTTTTTGGTAAAAATTTACAGCAAGTGTTTCGGGTATTTTTTGGAATAGTTCTCAGCATAGTTATAACAATTGTTTAGGGCCTTAAAGGGCCTGTCATCACTCTCCTCTCTTTCATAACTCGTTTTCGTATTACATCAGCCTTCAAGTGACAGTTTTAGATCATTAAAGAAATGTAAGATTCTTGTAAACAACGTTCTTCAATGCAAAAAGTTGTTTATTTTGCTATAATACAAAACTTCGAATACCTTTTATAATATTGAACAAAATTTTACAATAACGAGTAGGTCAGTCCGGAACTTAGTTTAACAACGTGCCGCGATTGCCAACTTGCTAATCTTCAAGCGTATTATAGCCTTTGAAGAATAACCTTGATAACTTTTAGAAGATGTTCAGAAATAACGTTTAGCTTACTAATCTGGTTTTCTTTTTCTTAATTTTCTTTACTCTTTTCGTGTAATATCAATCGCCTAGGATTTGCGAAAGCATATAACGTGTTATCAAGCCAATAACACAAATTAAAATTTTTTACTGGTAAAATTGTCCGCATTATACCCTAACCCCCTGCTCGTATCAGAATCGGTTTCATCAATTTTGCGTACCTTTTTATAAACTGTTATTGCTCTGAAAGTAGCTCATTTCAGCTTTTATGCTTGAAAAACAAGAACAAGGCGAACGGAGTGTTTTCTTTCGCTCTCTGAGCCTACTCCATTTGCCTTCTATCGCGGCTCCGTAATATCATCATGAATGGCCGAGGGTAAATCACTCTCGTGTAGGAGAACTTTTAAAGGCTTCGTTTTGTCAGCATCAGGTGGGTCACATCCATTTGTCTTGACATGCCCAGCAACAAGCGGATCAAGTGACACTCATCGATCGTCCAACAACACTTTTCTTCTCTTCCATAATGTTCTCTTACTTGTCTTAATCTTACACATAATTTTCATTTTAAAAACAAACGTATAAAATCGGCAGCTGTGAACACCAGCGGTGAACAGTCAGGCGACGCTAACATCGAATAGTGGGAGATAAGGTTAAAATAAAGATTGAATATTGGCTTTTACTGCGGGTAGGTAAAACAACGATTTTCGTTATAACCTATGGCTGCCGATGTTCCTCTATTTATTAAACGGTTCCAAAGTTATTTATGTGAACTTTCATGATTATATAATTGAGTGTAACGTAAAATCTTTATAAATGATCATTCATTCTAACGTTAAGCATTGATATATGTATATATATCGGAACGTTGTTGAAAAGACATTTACGTTTTAGGAAACGACAAAAATTTGCAATTGCGCACCTAAAAATGATACCCACATCATTTAGTTACTGCATATTTAAAGTAAGCCGACAAATGTATAACCAACAACATCTTGATGTGGTCCGGCACGATTTCAAACAGATTCTTTTACCATTGTTGATGTCTTATATTGATGCAAGATGTTTCCAAGGCTCTTCGGACTTGAAACGGAGGAAGTGTCGACACCTCCGGAAAACGAATTATTAAGGAGACCTCGTTTTTGACTGAATGGACTTCACTAAATCGTCCCGATTCTTTTTACTACTTTGTATTCTGATGACAAACGAAATCTTTGGGACATTATAAAAGAAGCTATTTCACTTAAATTGTAAACGCTACTGTGGATAAATTAAGGTTTGCGGTTGTTTGTGCTCAAGGACTGTGCAAACAAAAGAGATACGTTCATGGTAGCTTGTCGACAAAAAATAGCAAACTCTTAGGACTTACAACTCTAATGTCGCAAGCTAGTTATGTCCTCATGTGTGTATGATTATTATTATTATATAATAATTCAGTGATTAGTTGATAAAAAGGTGTGTGGATGCAAATGGATGCCGTTAGTGACTAGTAGACAGCCGCCTAGTACAGCGGTCTAAGAAGTGAGAGTCTTAATAGTAATGGACACAAGTAAATACAAGCTAGCAGGGTAAGTAGCAGTAGTAGTAGCAGTTGATCTCAAGACACAAAACAGTTAGGAAAAGTGTCTTCATTTCAGCTAAGAGCGTCACTCACCAATCGAGACGGAGGCTGCAGACAACAACAACAACAACACGGAGTCACAGGGAAACCGATAAAAAACAATTTAAACACGAGTACAAAAACGACAGCATAGCATTTATATAATGTAAGAACAGATAGTAAATTACCGTAAGAGCAATAAATCAAATAAGTCCCCAGCCACAGCATTTAGTAATAACACGTTCATCCTAATTATTAATCACCTCTAATCTGCGATGCTTATGCGTCTACGTAAGTGTTTCTAGGCGAGATGCCTGGGAAGTTCGTGTTGAATAATACTACTTAGTATAAATTAAAAACCTTTAAACGACCTTGCCAAATATCTTCGAAACAACAAGTTTGTGTGCTTCCTAAAAATTTACCATCATTGTAACGTGGTTCGTTTTAGTGTATTAATTTGGTGCACAAAGGATGATTACGTTCTCTCGCATTTCAGCTTAGCTAACCATTGTGGCGCTAAAAACAATGGCCATTCCCAACCGAACGGCTTGAAACATTGGCGTGTATTGTGATTTTAATTAACTTACGGGAAACATGCTCTCCAAAGTGCTGTTCGTTTTAAGGTTTTCCAGGAAATGTTGGGTAAGCTTGGAGGCTGTTTTAAGGTTGTTATAGTCCGGATGCGAGAACGACGTAGCCTGAAGCAGGTCATCTATGACAAGCGCGTTTTTCTGAATTCTCGCCACTGGCTTGTGCAGAAGATCTTCAAGAGATGTTGTCTGGCCCTGTGTAGTGAAGCCGAACAATGCACATTTAGAATTATCCATTTTGGATACATTTTGTGCTATTATGCTTTATCCTTATTTACTAACGTTGACTTACCTTCATTTTCATGTTTTTGGAGAGTTCATCGAACTTGGCGTTGTTGATTGAACATCTTCGTACGGTCTCAATGGCTTTTGAGTAGTTCTGCAAAAAAAGATTATACACTTCTAGTCGGCTCGCTAAAAACTTAAAATTTTCCCCAATAGTCGGTCGCCGAATCTCTATTGCGCCTCCTGCACCGCTTACGGTTGGATTCTGAAATGTTGAGAAGAAACATGGACATGATATATGATAAATTTCCATCTATATCTTCAAGTTAACATTACCAGGGCAGCTCATTCCTGTTTAATACGTGTTTTTTCGGGACTAACCTGCAGATTTCTGCGCAAACCATCTCTGAAGTTCCGATGAACGTCCAGAAGCTGTTCAATCTTAAAGAAGATTGTATCTACATCCTCCCTCGAAAGAACCGCCTAAGCGCAAAATAACATGTGCAAATATGTTAAGGGTAGCCGCTAAAGCACGGTCGCAACTTAAACATGGTAACGTTATGGCCTACTTATCAAGTATAATTTAGTCGGCAAATAAATATTGGCCTATTTATTACTAAATCTTATGATAGTGGCTTGACTTTTTCAGATGATGTTTCCTTATCACACTGACATGGAAAAACTGCAGAAACCTAAAGCGTTTGCTATAAAAAGAATGAACATTTGAATTTTATACAGTAAATCTGCAATACACTATTTTTATTCGACTATAAATACGCCTGAAAGCAGAGCACAGCCCAAAGCGACAGTGTTCCTTGATCCAGAAAGATCACGGCCTATACCGTGTCCTTATTTAGAACATCGAATTCTGGCTATTTTAGTAATTCTCATTACTCATTTAGTTCAATCGAACCTGGTTAGTTCTTGTTGCGCTCCCTAATGCTTTTCCATATTGATGAAGGACGTCCAAACAGTCTACGTAAGCGGTCTCACTTTCAATGACCGATTCGATAATTTTACGCACCTGCAATATAAACAAATTCTGAACTATGATATTAATTCATGTGATCTTATTCACTGAAGCCTCTAGTTTCCTCTAGTCGTAATTATATAAACACCTCCAAATCGGGAAACAAAGTTACTTTAAGTGGGCAGCGGTTGAATCCATGAAGATTCTTAAAAGCCAATCTTTTAGAAGTATTTTTTACCACCCCGGTGTAGAAAGTTGTATGTTCTACGAAGCTAAACTGCTTACCATGCAATGGCTATGACAATGAAGTTCGAGAAAACCAATTTTTTTCATTTATTTTGGAGAGAAAAATACTGGATTCTGAAAGTTTTCTAGATGTTTTCTCTCTCTGTAGAGTTATCACTTCACAGTTGTTTAAACTAAAGTTTAAATAAATGTTTAAAATAAAAGCACAGAGATAAATAGAAATCGATTAAACTAGTGAACAATTAAATGTATATCACTATAGCTTAAGTGTGAATGAGGAAACAACCGCAGTCGAAGCAGAGTCTTTATGGTCAACGCGTTTCAACGTAATTTTTGTCCAAGCCAAAAACAGCTCGAAAACATCTAAATTAGAAACAAAGTGAAAATTATTCTTGCTTTAAGTTAAGAGTCCTATCAAATCAAATGCGTTTTGCGTAAACCGATTAGTAAAACCAAAGTTATTTTTGATCTTCAAAAATGAATAAAGAACTAAAAAACAAAATACTACCATTACCGATAAATCTCACCGTTTCCAGTATAAATCAAAAACAACAGCTTTGTATATAATGTGTAAGCACTAAAGTGATATAACCCATATGCTGTTTGCAATCAGCCCTAGAAAACTCCTTGCAACAACAATCTGAATATTAAAGTTCGATTGCTTTTTACTAATCACCAATCAATAGAAAAAAAATTGAAACTATTCACTAATCGGCTCCTTTGTTTAGATTTCAAAGATAGTATATGGCATTACAAGAAGGTCGTGTTTTACAAAAAGCGTCTAGCGTTTCTCTGGAGTTTGTAATATAGAATGAAAAAACGAACATAATTCTTCGACTCTTACCACTCCATCCACTTCCTTAGCCTTATCGGGACTGTCTTCAACTAACGATGAATTCGAGCCCTGTGAACGACGCAATTGTTTTTCAGGGATTTCGCTTTCCTGCAAGGGGGCAGAGGATAAAAATTCCGCACAATACGTACATGAAAATGTACTCAATCTGTTTCTTTATAGATTACAAATTAAATTGATTTGACCTATGTTTTATTACTATTAAATTATCAACGACACGCTCAGAATATAAATATACGGCTAGAAAAGTAAAAAAAAAATTTAAATATATAATATTTTACGATTACTTCGATTGCGTGTTACGTGCTGTACGTCGCACGGAAGGAGAAACGAGGAAGGGGGAGAGAAGGGGTTGTCAGAGAGAGAAGTCATCAGAAATAAAAGCTGCTAACGCATATTGCCAGCTTAACTACTTCGTTTACCTCTTCCTAATAATCAATAAGGAGTTACTCTTAAGTATCCTAAAGGTATAGCTGAGGTAATCTTTAGTTTCTTGAGGACAAGAGACCCAGCAACATTTCAAGAAACACAACTTAAGACATGAGGCGCAAGTAAATTAAATTAATATTTTACAAAACAAAACTCACCGAATAAGGAACTATCATCAGTTATAGAAAAGAATAACTATTATACATATATAGTCATGGTGATACGAACATGCTTTTCTTTGCTTTTTTTTGGTCGGTGGAGTTGTGGCGATGTCTTCGAAGATAGGTACGACTCCATTGAACTGCTATATACACCTGCAACGGAGAGCAAAAAGTATCTGTAGTGATTCTATACTCACCGTTGGCTTTACGAGAAAACGTACTCGAAATCTACAGCAAAAGTTTAGCGTAGCAATTTGAATTAAAGCAAGGGAAATACAGGTTTACTGTCTGTGTACAGACCATCTCCAGTAACGCGTGAATTAATAATGTGCACATTGTATAGTTCATCATATTATGATAAATTGAGCCGTTATCCAAAAAAAATTATCCGCTCCGTTCAGTCGGACATTCAACCGGAAGGCCAACTAACTTAGCACTAAGTGCTCACAATTCGGGTTTGTCTAAAATTAACGCCAATCTACCGTATGGTCATATATGATAGTAGCAGACTTACATCTGAAGACTGGAGAGGTTACCACAGCATTGTTAACTTAACAGTGTAAACACCAAAGCACCACAGGTAACCCGCTAATGTTATCACTGAAGGCTGGAAACAAACTAACTTATTCTAAAATTCGCAGTTTTGTACAACACGCATAAACATAAACTGTCTTACTTTGTCGTTCTGTCTTTTTACAAGCTAAAGGAAAAGCGTACAGTTTGTTTATAAGATTTACTGAGTAAGCGAATTTTATTACTGGAGTAGGTTCTTTTTTGTTTTTTTTCAACAACAAACAATAAGGGGATACGTTATTGATGGCAAACATAGAAAATGCTCACTTTGAACATCTTTGAACGTTATGGTCAGCACTTCTATGCTTATTTTACTGGTCGACGACGTAATACGGCTCCTAAAATTAAGAAAAATAAAAATGCATTTAAAACTACGATCATTTACGAAACTCAAGTCCGGCGTAAGTTTAGTACGAGTTTCTCGTTCATTAAATACGCAATAAATATAGAATTTTAATATTATCAACATTAATGAGTTGAATAGAACTATATTACAGATACGTAGGCAAGTATCTGAGATAGCACGTTATTGTTTTGTTGATACTTAGTACAGATATATACGGCTAACGTTATTTTCACTAATATGAAAGGTGACCGTATAGAAAAAAGGCAGTTAAGGCAGAGACTGCCTTATCGCCCACTGGCTAACAACGTTTTCAACAAGTTCTATGCTAAATTCCTGGCATGTAGTGTAGTACAACAGGTAGGCGGCGACGATAGTAACAACAACATCGTAAGGCGAACATTCGTCAAATATCGGAAGGTAGCCAAACAGATTACATCAAACAATCCAGGGCAGAAAAATGAAACAGACGCCTGCTGACGTCGTCATACGGTAGTAGTGTTATATTTATACATAAGTAATGGTAATCCAGGTGAGACGCGCCGTTAAGCAACAACTGGATCCTTACGGAAACAATGATTCTTTACTGCAGACAATCACTCCCGCTGCGCCGCTTGTTCTAGTCCCCCGCCTTTTTACCTAGGCCTGTTTTAAGAGCCAGTACAACCTTATGAAAACTCTCAGTCAGCGCACTTATATCCGCTTGAATCGGAGAGTAAGTTAAGGCTGCATTAGAAACCAAAGGATTGACACGCACCTTTCGTATGGCGTTTGACCATGCCAACAGTTACAAATAATGAATAGCTGTCAATTCCTATAGCACGGAGCTCTCTACCAACCACTTTTCCGCTAATACTGCTGTTAGTGGTTGTTGTCTAAAGCGATGCAAAAGTTTCCTCTAGCTGCTGTTATTTTGTAGCCTGCCAACCAGGCCAGTAACAAATGAAACCGTGTGTCGTGTGAGAACTGAGAAGCTACATGTACTACCTGCGAGATAATGAATCGGATGTTCCCGTTGAGATCAGCAAAGGTTCACACATGTGCATTAGCCAACCGATTCTAGAAATGGCTTTGTCTGCTGCAATTCTGTACCCAATGCTCCAACGCTTAGTGAATTCCCGAACCGTACTTTTAGAGATTATGACTATTAGAAATGTGTTGAATTAAAACAGTACCTTATGCAATCAATAATTGAGTGCTATGTCAAATCATTAAGCCAGCAGAGAGAGAGAGAGAGAGATGTAGCCCACGATAAAATAAATATCTCCCATATAAAAATCTAGTGAATCGTCCATATCGTTCAGAAATAACATAAGTGAACTCAGATCTTCTTAGAAATACTAACAGCGACAAGTAGTTGAATTCAACCATGTTGGCCCACAGTATGTGCTAACGCGATCTCTGCTTACCGAGATCAACAATTGACGTCGGTCCCCCGCCAAGGTTTGATAAACAGGCGATAAGCTATCTACCGTTCGGCAGGCTCAATTTGGCTACAATTGCTGGTCTATGCATTCTACTTTTATATTTTAGCCTCGTACAGCAGTGTTTCTTTCAGCTTTTTTTTTAGTGATCCCCAAGGGACCAATGATTTATGTCGACACAAAAGCTCAGGCTGTGTTTTACTGCGTTTGTCAAGTGGTTATTGTCCTTTCGTCCAGTATGGCGTGGCTGGCCCGACCGGTAGCGATTCATATTATACCTTTTTTTTTTGCTGAGTCATACGTTAAAGGAATATGGTCATCAAATACTGGTAAATTGGAATATAATACGGCAGTCAATTACATAGTGTTGGGTACGTTACAGTTCCTCCCAATTCTGCGATAGTCTTATTAGAACCTAACTTGCTTGAGAGAAAGCAAGCATTACGATTTCGAAGAATGTTTCGTTCAAAATATACAGTAAGGAAATACTACCTATCTATTGACGAAGCAACTTCTTACGTTTTTAGTAGAAAAAAACGTTGAGTAGAAGATCCATTTACAAGTAAACAATAAGCCATTATTTTTCTTCAGCCTACAGCTAAAAAAACATTATTCATAACGATCGAATTAGGATACGATTAACTCCTCTATCTTAGCTGTACATACTAGTACAGATGTACACTAGGATGAAACGTATTACAATCACTTTAGGTATCATGATGATCATCACTATCGGATCTTCTGATACGATATCCTTAGCTCTGCCTGTCGAGCAAAGGCTATGGAATAATTTGTAACTTACTTGTCCGCAATTGACAACGTGTGGTTCTAATGCGCAGGGATGACACCGAGATTGACTGAAAATGATTGTGTATGTAAATCTGAAGAATACTACAAAAGCGAGAGATACCCTGATTCGAGCTGTCTTGCTCTGTAACGTGTCGTAAGTCGATTTGCGGATAGAGTTTAACGCCATTTCACCACAGCATAGCTATCGCCAACTTTTTTTTGCTACCTTAGAGTAAAATCTATTTAACAATGTTCGGTGCTTTGTTTTACAAATAGCGAATGCACATAATCCCTAATTAACACAAACAAGTCTTTCGACTTTGTTATGCAACAAGATCAACCGATTCTTGGATACAAGAAGTGTGTCGTAGCTAAAGGCAAAATATCATACTGCCTTGTAAGATCATAAGCGCGAACATTCATTTTTAACAGTCTATAACCAGTCGAATATAAAGAAAGTCAACGATAACTGGCCAGTGCAGATCGGCTGATGGTCTTAGACAGAGTAGTAGCAGCAGCAACGGATCAGTGCTGCTTTCCTCACTCCTTCATTCGACACACACTTAAAAACACATCCAGATACAGTGCGTAATTCGTCAATGAACCAACAACCACCGTCAAGCACTACCGTCTAACAGCTGGATGGAACGGGCAAGCCGGACGGAACAAACCGTTAATCCTTACGGGGCCCTCTATAAGCGACCCCTACCCTCATACTACGTAATAAGTATGATGTAACTCCGTCAGAGCACTAACGTCCAATCAGCCCACTAGATATGTTTGCATGCAGGTGCAGGTACAAGTGCCATCACCTGTGCCGTTCAGATCTCGTCTCCCAGGGGATAAGTCTGATCCACTTTTTCAGGCTTCCCTCTCTCTTCCCAATCTACAAAGACCCCACTGTTTGCATGAGGGCAACTTTGGTGTCACTCATACCCGGGGCCTCTGCTTGACAGTCATGCAGCATGGATTAGATGTCTCTTCTTGCTAATGCTCAAGAGGCAGCGTTGACGCAACAGCAGTGTTGGTGACACAAGCGAATGCGAAACAAACACGAATGTCACGCGATAACAGATAGACCCAGTCTTGGTGCAACTGAAACGACACCCTTATAGATACACGACGATTGAGCTTATCCGTAAGGATAACTTCGTAACTGCAACGGTTCATTAAAAGAGAAGTTACGAGCTCTCCAAAAGCTTGCATATTCTAAAGCAAACGACACGTTAATTCTTTTATCGAGTTCAAAGCTAGGGCTGTATATACGTGAACAACAGATGACCTTCTATTCATAAATTGCTCACAGAGATTTTTATAATATAATTAGTAAAAATTATTTTGGTCTTTCTAAGTATCACGTGGAACATTTTTGTAATTAATCTATTTTTTTTATACTGCGAAAACCTGTAACTATATTGATCTAGCAAAATAGTATTTAATTACTGGTTATCGTTTGACTTTGGCTATATTTATTTGAAAGCTAAGTTCCCATGTATATCAGTAAAGTATTCCATAAACAGCTTTGAGAAAGAGGCTACCCGTAGCGTCGTTCGTAATTTGCCATAATCGACGTTTTTTTTTTTTAAAATGTAGCTAATTTCTTTAAAACCGACATTACAGATTCGACCAGTGATGTATAGAGCATGTAGTTGGTCCGTAGATAGACATCTCAGAAAAGGCTAAAATAGAATTCGTGGAAAACGCTCAAGCAGTATCTTGTATCTTACAATTCACTGCAATTAACGTACTCAAAATGCAAAGCTGGTAAATGTACTTAAAGAAAAATGTTTATTGCTGAGCATAATAATTAAGCCTGATGCTGATCACGGTTTGCCACAGCTGATAGTAGGACTGTTCAATAGTAAATTTCCTTAGAAAGTATGTCGGCTGCATTGGCCACAGTTACGGCAAGCAGATGCCTATTCTGTATTACTACTGGTATTACTCACTTATAGGCATCTTTTTGGCGCTAACAGAACGCGTTCGAGGTTTGAAACGTTACGCCAAAAAACCTATTCTCACGT